TGTTTTTGGTGGAACTTGTGATTGATTGGATTCAACCACTAAGCGTTTATGGGTTTGAATTACCTGATCCTAGTCAACATTTCAAAAGAAGGGAATTTTCAAGAAACTTTCGTACTTGCATCTTTTTTACAAGTTTTTATTAAATAGATTGAATAGAAAATACAAATTTAACACGACATGTGCTGTTCCAAATGAATAGGACTGCAATAAAGGAAGAAACATCTATATAGATAACTATAGCTGGCCCTAGTACTATATTCCTAGTACCTACAGTACCAATAGTACCTGTCCCAGTTCTACATGAGCTTGAGATCCATAGTAGGGATCAATTGAGAGAGAAAGAGAGAGATTTTTGGGACATAAAATAAGGTTGCTTTACCAGTCCTAAGGTTAGAATAACCCTTACCTTGACCCAGAGGATTGGGTTATCCAGAAGATGAAAGTTCTTCCAGGAACTAAGAAATAGGTGTATGAGATTTACTGTCAGGAGTAAATATCAGATGCTGAGGTTGATGACAGGATAAGAAGCTATGAAGGCTTTGTTACCCTCAACTTCTGATGAATAGCCTAGAAACCCTAACGGATATGAATGTATGACTTTTTGGGATGCTACTAACCTAGTAGGGTTAGGTTAACAGATATGTATGCCTCAGTTAGGAACTGTTTCAGTATGATGAATTAAGACTTGTTGCTTTTGTGTTATGGCTGTTATGCTATAAATGAGGTTACATTATGCCATTTATTCCCTGTTCCTTTATATTCAGAATAGACTTAATAATGGTTAGAACTAGACACAATATTTCCCCTGAAAGAGCCATAGGAAGTGAAGCAAGGAACTAAGAAATAGGTGTATGAGATTTACTGTCAGGAGTAAATATCATATGCTGAGGGTGATGACAGAATAAGAAGCTATGAAGGCTTTGTTACCCTCAACTTCTGATGAATAGCCTAGAAACCCTAACGGATATGAATGTATGACTTTTTAGGATGCTACTAACCTAGTAGGGTTAGGTTAACAGGTATGTATGCCTTAGTTAGGAACTGTTTCAGTATGATGAATTAAGACTTGCTGCTTTTGTGTTATGGCTGTTATGCTATAAATGAGGTTACATTATGCCATTTATTCCCTGTTCCTTTATATTCAGAATAGACTTAATAATGGTTAGAACTAGACACAATATTTCCCCTGAAAGAGCTGTAGGAAGTGAAGCAAGGAACTAAGAAATAGGTGTATGAGATTTACTGTCAGGAGTAAATATCATATGCTGAGGGTGATGACAGGATAAGAAGCTATGAAGGCTTTGTTACCCTCAACTTCTGATGAATAGCCTAGAAACCCTAACGGATATGAATGTATGACTTTTTAGGATGCTACTAACCTAGTAGGGTTAGGTTAACAGATATGTATGCCTCAGTTAGGAACTGTTTCAGTATGATGAATTAAGACTTGCTACTTTTGTGTTATGGCTGTTATGCTATAAATGAGGTTACGTTATGCCATTTATTCCCTGTTCCTTTATATTTAGAATAGACTTAATAATGGTTAGAACTAGACACAATATTTCCCCTGAAAGAGCCGTAGGAAGTGAAGCAAGGAACTAAGAAATAGGTGTATGAGATTTACTATCAGGAGTAAATATCAGATGCTGAGGTTGATGACAGGATAAGAAGCTATGAAGGCTTTTTACCCTCAACTTCTGATGAATAGCCTAGAAACCCTAACGGATATGAATGTATGACTTTTTAGGATGCTACTAACCTAGTAGGGTTAGGTTAACAGATATGTATGCCTTAGTTAGGAACTGTTTCAGTATGATGAATTAAGACTTGCTGCTTTTGTGTTATGGCTGTTATGCTATAAATGAGGTTACGTTATGCCATTTATTCCCTGTTCCTTTATATTCAGAATAGACTTAATAATGGTTAGAACTAGACACAATATTTCCTCTGAAGGAGCCGTAGGAAGTGAAGCAAGGAACTAAGAAATAGGTGTATGAGATTTACTGTCAGGAGTAAATATCAGATGCTGAGGGTGATGACAGGATAAGAAGCTATGAAGGCTTTGTTACCCTCAACTTCTGATAAATAGCCTAGAAACCCTAACGGATATGAATGTATGATTTTTTGGGATGCTACTAACCTAGAAGGGTTAGGTTAACAGATATGTATGCCTCAGTTAGGAACTGTTTCAGTATGATGGATTAGGACTTGCTACTTTTGTGTTATGGCGGTTATGCTATAAATGAGGTTACATTATGCCATTTATTCCCTGTTCCTTTATATTCATAATAGACTTAATAATGGTTAGAACTAGACACAATATTTCCCCTGAAAGAGCCGTAAGAAGTGAAGCAAGGGCTCCTCTGGACCCTTTACAGATGATCCTAGATCGTTTGGAACAACAACAAAGGACCATCGAAGAGATGAGGGTGACGCAAGCTCACCAGGAATAGGAAAGGGACACAATAATAGCTACAGCTATAGCAGCAACAATGGAAAACCTCAACCAAGGAAACCAGAAGAAGAGGTATCCACAGCTCAAGAATCAGAACAGTTGCTTAGACTGGTAGTGTAAAACCCTTTACCTCAAAACATTACAAACTCGTCATGAAATCACTACTATGGTAGAAAAGGAAAGCTGTTAAAATGAACTACCATAGTAGAAAGAAATTGCATAACTTTAGAATTTAACATTCAAACTCGGTTCAAACTCAAACTCTATTGCATGCAACTAAAATCATTCATTAACAACCACTAGGCCTCCGAGCCTCCGGCCCAGGTAACAAAAGACATCAAAATCAGCCCATCCAATTAGTTTTCAACCAAATAAAACAAAGTTTCACAAGATACTAGAAATGGCCTCCGGCCAACTCAAATAAGGAGATAACACTCCCTCCAGTTTACAATAAGGCCGGGCAATCAAAATATTTCAAAAGGGATCCTAAATGTGGCAATATATACTATCCATACATATACAAGGGCTAGAGGCCTAAAGCTAACCAAGCTCAAGCCTCTGCGTCTCTTCCCGATGGCACACGCCTGGAACCTTCACCTGAAAACATTGTAAACCACGGGGTGAGACAACTTCCCAGTAACCAAACTTTCCAATTCAATGTACTACTAAATAGGTGCTCGTGAGGTGTCAAGTGGGGCAGTTCACAAGTAATATTATAAATGATAGCCACACAAGTCATGCAAGTGCAATGATGCAATCCCATCAACCATATCCCTCACTTTGGGGGATTTTCAAGAGCCGAACCCGACCTATCCCTCACTATAGGGGACATAAGGAGTCAAAAGGCCTATCCCTCACTATGGGGGACGTAAAGAGCCAACCATCATGCATTAATGGAGGCCTTACCACGTGGTAGTAACAATCAAAAACTCTCACCAATTCCCAATTCGTGTATCATGCTCAAACCATAATCAAAAAGTAATTAATCATTTCACAATTAACTTCTTTCAGTGGCCTATCTTTCACAAGTTCAAGATTCAATCAATATCAATTTAAACCCCACAAGACGGTTTTCCTTTTCAATATATATCATACACTTTGAACACAGTTGTTACTTGGAGCACAAAACATAAATCCACTCACAATACCATAAAAGCATGTACAAAGGATTGGAAAGTGGTTACCTCTCGCCTGAACAAGGAATAACAAACCAATAAGACGGCCCCTTGCACCAACAAGGCTCACAACTAGTCTACACAAGCACACAACCAACATGTATTAGCTTTCAACTAATAATGTGGTCAAAACAACACTTGGGGACACAAAATTCCTAACTCCAACCAAACTCTACCCAACTCAAAAGGGTATAATCATCAAGGCAACACTCCAAGGTCAAAAAAAATCCATTAAAACCTTAATTCCTTTCTAAATATCAATTTAGGATTCAAACCTCAAGGACCCACTATAGGAATTCAACACCCAATCACCCCATTTGAACAATTGAAGTCTTAACAACAATCTAAACCGATTAAACATCTAATTTAACCCTCCTTAACATAACCCAATTCACAAAACTCAAAATCAACCTCTACATTATCATCCTCAATCACAAACCTCCCATTTCCATAAACCCTAATTTCAAAAACTCAAAGTTCTTCAAATCCAAGAAAACTACACCGATTAAATACTTAGACTAACCCAAAGCAATCAATTAAACTCAAAACAATCGGTCAAAAACCTCAATTCCATAACAACCTAGAAAACTCTAGGGTTTCACCATAATCCTCAGAAATTCCAAGAAAGAAAGTAGATTAGAGGTTAAAATCACTTACTTGAGGTAATGAATCCTTAGAAACACCTTTCCCAAGCCATAACACTGAAACCCTAGCAGAGCTTCTCTCTCCTCCTTCAGATTTTCTAATTTTCGCACCAACAGACTCTCCCGCGATTATATAGATTCGGCACCTTTCGCCGCGGCGAACTAATCCCGAGAGGGAATACTCGCCTGGAAACCTGACTTCGCCATGGCGAACTCCAATCTTTGCCGGTGAAAGCTTCCCGAGAGGAAACTCTCGCTCGCCCAGAAAACCTTTGCCGCGGCATACCCCTACCTTCACCGCAGCGAAACCTTCCCGAGAGGGAAACCTCGCTCACTTGAACAACTTCGCCGCGGCCAAACCTTCCTGAAAGACAATCCCCCCTGGAACTGCCGATTCGCCGCGGCGAACATAGCCTGAGAGGGGTCTGTTCACCTATTCCTCCAACATATCTCAATTCCAACCCAAACACCAAGATCAACATTAAATCACTAATCTATCCTCAAAATCAACCAAAAAGAGGCTATTAAAACCCGCTAAAACTTAGGATGTTACAGGTAGCACCGGCAACAGACCCTGACAGCATCCAACAATAGATGACAAGATTCTGCAAGCACAATCCCCCTACGTTTGATGGGAAATTTGACGTCCAAGCAACTGAGGATTGGATCAACCGTCTAGAGAAGATCTTCAAAGTGCTAGATTGCCTATCAGAAAGGAAGGCCTAGATGGTCATCTACAAGCTGGAGAAGGATGCAGATCGCTGGTGGAGGAATACCGAGCTGATTCTTGAAGCACGCCACACAAGAATCACTTGGGAGGTATTTCTTGAACGTTTATATGAAAAATACTGTCCTAGATCAGTTAGAGATGACAGGGAAGCTGAGTTCTTGACCCTATGACAGTAGGACAAGGAACCATTTGATGAGTATTTAGCCAAATTTATTCGCCTCTCCCACTATTTGATTATTTACATTATAGATAAGATGAGACGTAGACCACAGAGAAGATAGTCAGAGGACTTAAACCATCCTTAAAGGAAGTGATTGCCCTAAGGCAATTTGAGGAATTTAATAAGGCAATTGAGTCTTGTAGGATTACAAAAAATAGTATGAATCACCACTCTGCCTCTAAGCTAACTCCTAAGACAAAGAAAGCCTCTAAGAGAGGAGATCAAGATGGGGCCTCTTCTAGCACCAAAAAGAAGAGGAAGAGGTCATGGTACAACAAGAGGAGGTAAAAAGGAAGTAGAATGGGAGGTGACCAAATAAGGGGTAAAGTATGCAAAGTCTGTGGCGAGAACCATGGAGGCAGGCTGTGTTTAGCAGGACAGGACAGAACGCCTGCTTTACTTGTGGCAAGCCTAGGCATTTTACAAGAGAATGTCCACAGAATGCTAATAAGACCAGGCCTCAGACACAAGGAAGGGTGTTTGCTGTGACACAAGCAGAGGCCCACCAATTGTAACATCCAGACTTTTAGGCCTAGAAGTTCCAGAAATAGCTTAAATTAAATAGGTTACCAGACCCTTGTGAGCAGAAGTCCCAACGACGAGAAAGGAAGTTAAAGCAGTTTCAGGGACTAAACTGCAAAGTAAAAGTTTTCAGTGGCTCAAGTATAATTAAGGTTAGAGGCTCCAGTAAAGTCTCGAAGGCCCAAAAAGAGAAAAGAGGCTAGATACAGGCCAATGGGTAAGTTAGAAACCTCAAAGAGATGGTTCTATGAGGTTAGGCTTAAGCAGGGGTAAAACCGTAAATTCAAAAAGTTATGACCAGTAAGGGCAAAAATGGAAGAGTGTACAGAAAATTCCAAAAAAATCCCAGAAAATGGGAAATAATATTCTAAGACTCTTCTATAAAGAGAAAAGATGAAAAATACCCCTGAGGCAGCTTAAATGGAATTTATGAGGTTGCGACCGGTAAAAAGTATACTGTTTGAGGTAATTATTTGAAATAGCAAGAGACCTCAAAAATGTATGCAAAAATGAGGTTAAATGGTTGAAAGGTTGTACTAATTTATAAAATTAGTCCCGCAACCAAAGGGCCAGTAGAGTGGCTTTAAGAAATTAAAGAGCCGGTTTTGCCGATAAAAGGGTATTTTAGTAAATGAATTTTATGCAAGGCTTAAAGGAAGTGTTATGGCCTAAGAAAATTCATAGATACTCTCTAGAATTAAAGGGAATTTATGGATTTGATAGAAAATAATTACAGAGGCTAGATCACTGTAATTATAGAAAAGAAGTTAAACCCAGAGTAAAAGTGCACCGATAAAGTGATAATCAGAGTCTTGCACTTTACTTGGCTCACAAGTCGCCACTTGTCAAGCCTTTAATGGATGGTAATTAAAGCTTTCCAAGTGTCAAGCTACCAATGGAGAGGATCTTGACTTTGGAATGTAATTATATTATGAATTAAGTTAATTAAGAGAGAGGTTTCAAGAAGGCTTAGGCATTTGACACTTAGACTTTCATTAAATGTGGTAGATGAGATATTTTGAGAGTACTAAGGAGCTCATCTCTCCCCTAAATCAGATGGGAATTTTGTCTAAGGCAAAGAGGAGAGGAAAAGAGAGGGTTTTGAAGGAGAACCAAGGAAAAGCTATCAACTTTGGTCATCAATCAAGGATTCAAGGTGAGATCTTAGTTCTAGATGTGTTCTTGTCTTGTTTTCCTTCTCTTTTAAGGTTGAAAAATCTGTCTTCTCTCCCTTTTGATGGCTGGTCAAAATGGTTGATGAGTGGGGAAGGGAGTTTGGTTGTTAGATCTTGCTAGAACACCTCAAAGTATGGTAGATCCAAGTGGATCTATGTGAAAATTGAAAGAATTACGTGCTGATTTGATGGCTTTTTCGAATTAGTTACTGTTCATATCTGGTTCTGAAATTTGGCATGCTTAAAGCACACTCTGTGAGCTTTAAATCCATAGGTAGAACACTTCATTTGGATATATGTACGATTTATGGTGATTTTTCAAAGTTAGAGTTTGAAATCTGGAAACAGTGTTAAGCTTTTGGAAGGGTGTCAAGTTCCGTACAATTCTGGTACTGTTTGACGTAGAATTGGTTCTTGAAACTATTTTTCCTTTAAATTTAACTTAATAATATTTCAGTGAGACTTAGAAGCACTCAATTTGGATTTTTATAGATTTAATTATGAATTTTCAAAGTTGAGCAAAAATTCTGGAGATTCTGCGTGAACAGTACCCACGAACGAAAATTTCCAGATTTGATATTCTTGAATCTAAAGCCATCTAAAGTGGTCCTAATTGATAGGAAATAGATCGTAAGGATGGTAAATAATAAGATTTATATTAGAAAAGTTAGAAAGAAAATCCTAAGACTAAGAGAAAGGGTTGAGGTTCAAGAAAGCTAGTCTTGAACTTTATGTAATCTAATGGTCCTAATGGATTGTGTCATCATTATGGTTATGTTTAGGACCTTTGGAACATCCAAGAGTATGTTTAGTGATGTTGACCAAATGCCCACATGGTTGGAAAGTCAAGGGAGTCAAAGGAAAAGTAAGAGGAAAGCTTGAGGTGCAAGGTAGTAAACTTACCCTTTATGTGCTTGACATGGTATGCTTATGTGTTGGTTTGTATTTGTTGTTTGAATGATGTTGTGACATGATGATTGTTGCTGGAAATTCTGTTTTTAATATGTTCCCATGGCCATGCATTTTTATACCAAGCATAAAGCATGATGGCATGTCACTAGTTAACTTAAGTTTATGAAGAACTACATACCATACACTAGCATCCATCTTGTGCATGTATGTGGTAATGTTTGCTACTGAGATTCCCCCGAATTTCACCCCTTCATAACCAACCATTTAGGTCAAATCAATGATGGGCACTAAGGGCATGAGAAGCAAGGAGAAGAAGTGGAGAATTATTAATGCTAATGATTGATATTATTATTCAATGTATAATTCTCCTATGTAAGTTATGTTATGAATGCCATCAATTCAATGTATGTGCTTAGGATGTTTATGGCATGAATGAAAGTATATGAGCATGAATGGGAAAAAGTTAGCCCATGTTAGGTATGCCAAAGAAATAAAAAGAATTAAAGTAAAGAGATATTAAGGGATAAAACGTAGGTCCTGAAGCAGTTAATTTCAAGCTTCAGTTCGACCAATCATATGAATGAGTTAAGGTACAGAATTTGGTACACTTATAATGCATATCCCAAGCTTTAAAATTAGTGGTAAATCACATCATTGGATGTGTATACAATGAGATATGAATTTTCAAAGTTAAGGCGTAGAATCTGAAAAGTCCAGATTTTACCAAAGGAATAGTAATTTTAATCCAATAAACTGTACGTTTTAAGTGAGGATGAGTTCAGTTGAATATTTTTCCCTTAAAGAGCATTGAAAGAGCTTTCCGTATAATTTTGGAACACCTCTATATGATTTTTCTAGAATTAGTTATGATTTTTCAAAGTTGGACCTGTAATCTGAAAACTAGATAGTGAACAGTAATTTTCTGAAAATTAACGTCCAAATTGAAATTTTTAAGCTTAAGACCATCCAAAGTGGTCTGGAATGGTTCTAAATGAATGCTAAGGTATTATATAAGTAAGGTGTGACACTAATCGCTGGACATGATCCAAGGTACGATCAGTGTTAACAGTTATCCAGTGATTGTTATGTTTGATTCGTGTGCTAGTCATTCTTTCATATCTTATGACTGTGTTGGGCAACTATGCCTTATTACCAGTATATTGCCCTATGTTATACATGTGTCAATACCTGCTCACACTAGAGTAGTTACGTAAGATGTTTGCCTTAATCGCATTGTTCAGTATGAACATTGTCATACTACTTTAGATATGATATATATGCCTTTTCATGAGATTGATGTGATCATTGGTCTAAACTGGTTATCTTCCCGAAATGTATTATTGGATTGTACAAATAAGACCTTGATCCTTCCCCCAAGAGAATCAGACTAAAACCCTGAAGTTAGGCTAAACTTCATAACGGAAGCCTAAGCTGACAGATGCCTGTGAAGAGGTTGTTAAGGATTTCTCGCCTTCTTCTCGATGCAAGCTAAAGTAGAAGAAGGGACAGAAGAGATTCAAGTTATAAAAAAATTTCCTAAAATATTTCTAAAGGAAATTAAAGGATTACCTCCAAACAGAGAAGTTGAGTTCTCAATAGACATTGTACCTAGGGCAGGACCAATTTCTAAAGCCCCTTATAGATGGCCCTAACAAGATGATAGGATGAAAGAAGCAAATTGAGGAATTACTTGAGAGGGGTTTCATCCGGCTAAGTGTTTTACCATGGGGGTGCTCCAGTACTATTTGTTAAGAAAAAGGATGCTATTTTAAGAATATATATTGATGATAGAGAACTCGACAAAGTCAGGATTAAGAAAAGTATCCCCTACCAAGGATAGATGACTTGTTGGATCATTTAGTTGGTGCCAGTGTATTCTTTGAGATAGATTTGAAACCTAGTTACCACTAGCTCAGAATCAAGCCTAATGATGTCCCCCAAGACTGCGTTCTGAACTCGCTAAGGGCATCATGAGTTCTTAGTGATGCCCTTATAGAGTCTCTAGAAGAGCATGAAGATCATTTGAGAATTTTCCTTAGTACCCTGAGAGAGAAGCAGCTCTTTGCCAAACTTAGTGAATATGAGTTTTGGCTTCAGGAAGTTTGTTTTCTCAGCCATGAGATTTCCCGAAAGGGAGTACTTGGCGACCCTAGTAAAGTTGAGGCTGTACTGAATTGGGAGCGGCCTAAGATCGTGACTGAGATCAGAAGTTCCTTGGACTTGCAGGGTATTACAGAAGGTTTATTAAGGATTTCTCTCTAATTGCTCTTCCGCTGACTAAGCTAACCAGGAAAAACCAGCCATTTGTGTGGGACAGAGAGAGTGAGGCTAGTTCAGGAGCTGAAGAGGAAGCTCACGTCTACTTCCGTACTTATAATCCTTAATCCTATGCAGACCTCTGTGGTCTACGCAGATACTAGCAAGCAAGGACTGGGATACGTCTTGACGCAGCAAGGTCAGATTATAGCCTATACCTTATGCTAGTTAAAGTCTCTTGAGGAGAACTACTCGACCCACAACCTGGAATTGGCAGTGATAGTTTATGTAGTCAAGAAATGGAGACATTACCTGTACAGAGCAAGTATAGAGTTATTTTGCTACCACAAGAGCCTCAAGTACCTCCAAGATTAGAGGAAGTTGAACATGAGGCAGTGGAGGTGGATAGATCTGTTTAAAGACTGTGATTTCCAGATGAAGTACCATTCAAGGAAAGCTATTATGGTCGTAGATGGCTTGAGCAGGAAGGCAGTACACGTAGCATCGCTAATGATCTGAGAGCAGGAGCTGATTAAGGATGACAAAGACTGGGGACCTCTGTGTCAAATGCAAATAGTTTAAATGAAAGGCAGTAAAACATAATTCACAGCTCTGCTCGAAGACCAATCAGAGAAGCGTAGTAACAGGATCGGTTAGTAGTAATCCTTAAGTCAAAGTTGTAGAAGGGTGAGACCCAAGACTTTGAGATTTTTTTTTAGGAGGGACTACTAAGGTTTAGAAAGAAAATGTATGTACCTCCAGTAACCGATCTAAGAGAAATGATTTTAGCATAAGTCCATAAGAGTTGTTACACACTTTATCCAGGAATGACTACAATGTAGAATGAGGTAAGAGAACTTTTCTGGTAGCCTGGAATGAAGAAGGATATAATAGAGTATATATCCAAGTGTTTAACGTGCTAGAAGGTGAAAGTAGAAAACCAAAATTAGCAGGACAGTACATCCCTTGGACATCCCTGAATAGAAGTGGGATAGTATATCCATGGATTTCATAGTGGGATTACTGCTTATGTCATCTAAGTATGATGCCATATGGGTGATAGTGGATCAATTGACTAAGTCGACCCATTTTCTAGCGGTAAATGTGAAAGATATGCCTAAAAAATTGGCAAGGCTATATATTAAGGAGATTGTTAGGCTGCATGGTGTCCCAAGCAGCATTGTTTCTATTGCACCTTACTATCGGATCCACTTAGGGTTTAATTAAAACTATTTTAGACCACATTGGATGGTCTCGGGCTTAAAAATTTATGAAAAACACTAATTTTCGGATTTTTACTGTTGACCGGGTAAAAATCCAGTTTTCAGGCTCAACTTCAAAAATTCATAACTTAATCTAGAAAAATTGAAATAGAGTGGTTCAAAATTCTATAAAAAGATCTTTGAATCCTCTTTCAAGAAAAAATAAGTTTATGAACCAATTCCATTGGAAAAAGCATTAGGTTTTTGTGAAATTCACCTCTGTCCAATTGGCAAAAATCCTTTTCCCAGATTCTGAACCTTAACTTTGAAAATCATTAAAAATCATGTAGTTGGCCATTTTTAACGTGTTGCCTATCAATTTGAAGCTCATGACATCAAATCTAAGCATACTAAATTTTATGCAGAGATTTGTTTAGTAACTTAATAAAACGTGGCTCTAAACTGACGTTCTGCTTAGGGATTACAGCACCAACCATAGATACTTATACATAACCAAATGTCCACGAATTTTTATGGTGTGACACCATAATTTAGCCTCCAATATGCAGCTTGCTCTTAGGAGTTTCAGGCCCTAAAATGTTAGATTATATTTGGGGGATGAGATTTTAAGAAATCCCAATAGCAAGATTAATCAACCAAAACATTAACATGCATCAATTACAAGTATTTCAACCTTTTGCTATTAAGAGAGAACTACTTTACCTCATACATGTAGCACTCTAACATGCAATAGCCAAGGCACATAAAGTAAGGAGTATAGCTACACAATCATTATCATCATCATCATTTAGTTCAACCACATAATAGCACATGAAATTGCATAGCAATCAATGCAACATTCAACATTAAGGTCAATTAAATCTTACTACCTTGATCTAATGCTCTTTGATTTTCTTGTTCTTCTTTCTTGCTTCCACAAATTCCAAACCATAACATGGCAATCCACAAAAAGGGCAGCAAGAATCATGAACCATTCCACATAAGAATCAATAACATAACTCAAGTAACTCCTAAACCCCCTTAAAGCTTCCATCTTTGTTCTTGAATTTTTAGAGTTGGTTTCATAAACCCTAAAAATTCCCTCTTGACTCCTTCCTACATGATTTTTCATGTAGATTCCAATTATTTACTTGGATTTAACAAAATAAATTTTCTTCTTTCAGTTTCAGCTTGACCGAACCACTATGGTTCAGTTTCCAAAAATTATAACTTTGATTCTATGGCTTCCAACACTTGTTCTTTAGGTTTACCCTACACCATATTCCATTTTGAACACAATGGAAGCCTCAAAACTTTGAAAAAAACATCCTAGGGTCCAGATCTTGCTTTGGCCAAAACGGATCTCAAGCAACACAACAAAGAAAACACTCTAAAATCAACCTACAACCACTTGTAACCACTAGGATCTACCATACTTTGGAGTGTTCTAGCAAGATCTAACAACCAAACTTCCTCCTCTACATAAGAAGCATTTCGGCCAGCACTCAAAGAAGAAGAGAACCAGAAATTTCAACCATACAACTCAAGCAAACAAGGCAAGGAACAACTTAAAACCAAAAACTTACCTTGGATCTCACTTGTATGCTTAAAGTTGATGCCTTTCTCCTTGGTTCTTCCTTAAACTCTCTCTTTTCCCTTTTCTTCTTGCTTGGCCGAAACATTGATCAGATTTAGGGTGAAGGATGAGCTCATTCAATGCACACAAAATATCCCGCCATCCATCATTAATGTTATGCCATGTGTCAAAAGCCTACTTAGTCTTAATCCTCTCTCTTAATTAACTTAAATCATAATGTAATTAAATTCCAAAGTCAAGATCCTCTCCATTGGTGGCTTGACACTTGGAAAGCTTTAATTACCATCCATTAAAGGCTTGACAAGTGGCAACTTGGGGCCAAATAAAGTGCAAGACTCTGCTTCTTACTTTATCGGTGCACTTTTACTTTGGGTTTAACTTCTTTTCTATAATTACAGTGCTCTAGCCTCTGTAATTATTTTCTATCAGACCCTTAAACTATTCTTCTCATTTTTATCTTCCCAAATTGAAGTCTTTGTCTCAAATTTAATTTCCCAATACTTAAATAAAAAGGAAAACTAATTTCCTTCTCTTTAGTGATTTTCCACTTTTCAGGGGAATTGGAAAAAATCTTGGATACTTGAGGGTCTTCTTTTAATTTCATAATCTCTTATAATTTCTTGGGATATCATAGGAATTTTCTTGGGATTTTGATCCTCCTTAAAAATATTTTTTTAGAATTTTCCAAATAAAAGACCTTAAACTAGCTTAAATTGCCCTTAAATTCCTTTGTAATTTCTCTAAGGGAAATTTGGTCATAAAACAAATTTTATAATCCCACATAAACCTCAAGGAACATTATCCTTATTTTTTCTTAATTTTCTAAGGCTTGGAAATATTTTTCCATAATTATTCTTGACCAATTTTTCTTAATTAGTCAAACTTTTCATAATTGGCTTGGAAAACTATAATAATTATTTTCCACCAAAATTCTTCTATTTCTCCTTGTCATTTTTGAACCTTAATTATTTAGGAATATCCTTATTCCTAAATTTCATATTATTGGATGTGACAGTTTCTGATTGAGGTCCAAGGTTCACATCGAACTTTTAGAGAACTCTACAGAAAGAAATGGATACTACTTTTAGATTTAGCATAGCCTGCAATCCTCAGAAAGGCAGACAAACAGACCAGCTATGTGGATAATAAGAGAAGACCATTACAGTTAGAGTTAAGGATCATATATTCCTTAAGGTTTCTCCAACTACAAGAGTGGGTCGATCCCTAAAAATGTGGAAGTTAAATCCAAAGTATGCTGGACCATTCCAGATTGTATTAAAAGTAGGACCATTAGTTTACAAGTTGGCCCTTCCCCTGAAATTGAGTCAAATTCATGATGTCTTCCACGTCTCCCAACTAGAGAAGTACCAACTAGACCCAACCGTGTCATCCAGTATGATGACATTGCACTTCAAGACAACCTGTCTTTTGAACTTAGACCAAAGTGGATCATTGATATAAAGATTAAGTAGCTAAGGAATCAGCAGGTTTCGCTGGTCAAGGTGGTCTAGAAGGTCTGTCGCCAGAAGAAGCAACGTGGGAGATAAAAGAGGACATGAAGAAAAAGAATATCCAGGATTTCTCCGTTAAAGTATATTTTAAATTTCGAGAAAGAAATTTATTTAGGGGGGAGAAATGTCACATCCAGAAATTTTATAACTAAGAGTAAGGAAATCCCTGGACATTTAAGGGCCAGAATAGTGGAAAAAAATATGAAAATTTTGAAAAAATGTTAGAAATTCCCAAAATTTAGCAAATAATTATGGAAGGTGGAGAAAAGGCCCCTAGATAGTATTCTAGGCTCAAAAGTTGAAATTATGATGGAAAGCAATAATTATTGAATTTTCAGTAATTATTGGATATTGACTAATTAGGGAAATTGGTCAAAAATTAATTATGAAAAATAGTTTTGAGCCTTAGAAAATTAAGGAAAAATAAGGATAAAGTGTCTTGAGAATTATAGGACATTCAAGGGATTTTATAACCAAAATAGTTCTAGTTAATCTTTAAGGGAATTTAAAGTCTAATTATGCTAATTTGGGTTTTATTCGGGAAAATTCTAAATAAATACTTATAAGGCTAGATAAATCCTAAGAAAATTCATGGAACTTCTATGGGATTTATAAGAGATTATGAAATAATCAAGAAAGTTTTAAAGAGCCTAGAGACTCGAGAAAGTAACTCTTGAGCAAGAAAACTAATATAGTAAAGAAATCGGTTTTCTTTTCTTTTAACGATATAAATTAATTATGGGAGTAATGGAGGGCTCTTTTGGAAGAGAAAATTGATAAGGAAATGTTAAGGATCTGATAGAAATTAATTAGAAAGTTCAAATCACTGAGGTAGAAAATGACAGAGCTAATTCAGTATCAAAATAGTGTTGAAAAAGGTGGAAAGTACACTCATTTTTGCTTGGCTCTCATTGTGCCACTTGTCAAGCTAAAGGTAGAGATGATTTTGACTTCTAAAATCCATTTCTTTTGTAATTAAATAAAGGAAAGAGAAAATGCAAGAAGAGATCTTAGCTTGACACATCATCAATGTAATTTCCTTGAACTTGGATGGCATTTAATTAACTCAAGGTAATAGAGCTCTTCCCTTCTCGCAAGACACCGTTTTCGGCCAACACTAGGGAAACCTCTTGCAAAATTTTTCTTGAAGTGTAATCAAGGAGAAGGTTGAAGATTTGATCACACAAGGTTGCATCCAAGGTTAGTTTGATGTTCTACCTTGTATA